TAGCTTTGCCACCCTTACCCACAGGATATGGCTTGACTTCGACTGTTTATTTGAAGACGGGTGGGCGGTAAAATACCAAAGCACTGCCTTATAGCTAATAATGTCCTGATAATAAAAGGCTTTTGTTCGTTTTTTTTCAAAAATTATTTTAATAATATTCATATAAAAGTATATTATTTTCTATAACATGCAATATTATCGCGATTTATTAAAATTTCCATAACAAGGATTTAAAGAACAATGTTCTCTTTAAGATAATGTAATACAAATGCAAAAATGTTGCCAAAAATATTTATTTTTCTCATACAGAAAACGTAAAATTTATACAAAACTTCATCGCTTTTGGTGCGGGAACTTTTTTCACGATCGCGAAAAAATAATATCATATTCCTTAACATCTGTTCAGGCCCTACAAGCTCTTGCTATGGTATTTTTGATATTTGCAAAAATTGCAAAAAGTCATAACCCTAATATACATATATGGAAAAGTTTTTTATATTTCGAACAGTACTGTATTTCCAATTGAGTATTTTCATATTGTCATTATTAGAGTATTGTATTTTAAATGGTGTACTGTAAAGTACCAGTTTAATTGGAAAAATAACTATATACAGTTGAATTTTTTATCCCCGCTTATAATCAGATTTAATGATTTCATAATTCATATACTTATTAGAAAAAGGTACGATGTGTATTTTGATTTGTCATTTAGGTCAAAGTGATAATTTCTTTTTTTTTTTCATTTAATTTACTATTTATTAAACAGTAAACGTACTTCACACAAGAACATACACCAAAATACAGACGTGGTAAGTAAATATTTACATATGTACATACCTATCACTATGTGTATATGAATACATTTGTATGCGTAAACATACATAAACAAACTAAGTAAAACGCTGTTATCAAGTCCTATTATCTTATCTAAAATTTTATTCCGATCCATTCATATAAATGTGCCCTAAAAGCAAACGATCAGTTTAAACTCGATCTACATATCTGTCGATTGTCTTTTCTTTGTATCACCAAACAACAACAAAAATAACAAAATAAACCCACACACATATACAGCCAGACAAATGAAACCAAACAAACGAACAAAAATTCATCCAATTGAATGTTGTTGTTGCAGCTGATGTTCTTGTATAATGTTTGTTTGGAAGTACTCGTACATTACTTTGCGTACTTCATTGTCAGTTGTCTTGAACTCTGACCACCTGACCTCCATTGAACTTTGCAACAACAGACAGCAGCAGCCGCAGTCGCCGCAGCAACAGAACATACGCCTCAACAACACAATCTACAATCTCATATTCATATAAATACACGAAAGAACCAGTACGAGTACTTGGTAAAATATTTAATTCAAAATTGTTGCTAATATATTTTTTTCAATACAAATAGTTGCAGTTTTAACCCAACACTCACTCAGTCACTTAGGCACACGTATACACTCACGCACACACTCACTCCGCTGTAATCACTAAAGAGAGAGAGAGAGGCTAAGTAAAACCCAAAGAGCAAAAGTGGGAGAACGTGAAATATCTGTGTGTGTAAGTTTAAACTTTTCAAATACGTGTAGGGGGGCTAGTGGAACCCTGTACAAGTCAAACGAAATGCATAACAAGTGAGTAAAATAGAGCGTATTTGAAACTTTGGTGCGGTTAAGATGGGCCATGATAAACAAAAACAACAAAACAAAATTACACCAAAAACAACTGAAATAAAAACAAAAAAATGCAAGGTGCCGATATGTCAATGTCGAGAGCAAACAAAAATTCACTTGTACTCCCCACATTTTAGTAGATTCTTAATGAATTCTAGAAAAAAAATTCTCTCACGTGTTTACAATTCTTCTCACAATGTAAACAAAATTAGTGATTGTTAGTAAATAACAATGCTGCTAATTCATTAGATAAATTTGGAAAAAAACTTTAAACGTTTTTTTATACGCCAATTTGGATCTGCAAAGAGGATCATAACAAAGAGAAGAATAAACAATATTCACGATTTAAAAATATTTTCAAGATTTAAATTATCGAAAACTATCAAATTAACTGCATACAGACTTCAGGATAATTCTAAACTCCCACTAGTTCCACAAGAAGTTCAAGCTGTCAAACGTATTTAAGTCTCACAATCTCTAATTATTGAACTCTCGTCACTTCATTTTAAATGCATCGCTTTGGCCATCTATAATAGACTTTGTTCATACCTAGAATTCTAAATTTAGATTATGTTCCTCAAGAGGTCTGTGAAGAAAAACGACGTGAACACATATAAATATTTATATTGGGCAATGTTCATAATAAAGGTAATCCAAAGTACATACATATATTGCGATACCTAAAGGTACAACGAGGCATATCAAGGGACATTTTGGTCTAAATGAGGTGACTAGATATATGATCAAAATTGCGATCATCACCACAGTCAAACCACATCCCAAGTCCTCCTTTAAGAATCTTACCGAAGTCATGCATGGAGTCTTAAGTTAAAGCAAATCCAAAAGTATAATTAAACAAAGTAAGCTTGGTAAAATTTCGATTTGCCAAAGTGGATCCAAAAATATATACCATCACTAAAACCATGAATTAAACCAAACATAAAGTTCAATGTTCAGAATTATTAATCCAAACATGAGAGTATTGACTCTCATCTAAAAACAAGAGTGCGTGAATCTTCGACTAACTAAACCAAGTTTTAAATTTGCTCGGGAATGTTGAAAGAGCAAAGATAACGGTAATCAACAAAACAGTAATACTATCAGTAATACTAAGGTTTTTATTAAAAACTTCGGTTTCCAACGGCATCATATTAAAATAATATGAACGTTTCAACATTTAATTTGTTGAAACTTTGCCAGTTGGTACAATCAATTAAAATTTACATGAAAGTTGTTACGAAACCGTTTGTGCGGTATAGTTTCCGACGGTGGCGTGTCATAATTTCCAATGTCTTCGTCGTTAGGACACACTAAAAAGTATCCATGGACATAAATTAATTGGAAAATACATATCTATGTTTAGAATTTAAGAAAGGGACACTCCTATCCCTTTTTTGATAAATGGACTCTTAATTCTATGAACTTTATGTCACATTGCTCATGGACATTGTGACACTTTTGAAGTTGTCACAATGTCCATGGACATAATGACATTGGACATCAGATACTTTCCGACTAACTAGCATGACTGCATTATTACGCATTTTCCTTACAGAGATAGACGATAGACGGAGATAGGACACTTTTTAAAAGGACTCCAAAATGCGGCATATAACAAATTTAGGAGTAATTCTTTCCGGGATAAGAGTGTCTTTTTTTTAATTCTAAACAAATTTTCCTGTTTTAAAAGTGTCATAATTAGTGCTGTTAAAGTATTGAGTAGTGGGTATCGAGTATCGAGTATTTGCCCTATTTTTTGGGTACTCAATACTAAAAAGTAGTTACTCAATACTTTCAGACTTGTATATGGATTTAACTTATTTAAATTTAACGGCTATGATGTGAAAAAATACAGCTCTAAAATCTAATATAGACCATATCATTATTAGAAATGCAACTCTTAGCAATATCAAATCAATGTAAAAATAATTTAAACACTGCAATAATAGTTAAAAAGTTACAAATATTTATCGACGCTATCTAAAAAAATAAAATGTCTCAAAAGAGGTGTGATGTCTGGTCTAACTTTACTTAAAAAAAGGAAAAATTCCTCGTTTTTAATTTAAAATAAAACCGTTAAAAGTATCGAGTAGTATTGAGTACCCACGCGAAAAGTATTGAGTAGTATTGAGTAATCAAAAGTAGTAGAATATTACAGCACTAGTCATAATGCGCATGGACATTATGACACGCCACCGATAGACGATATACCCAGTATCCTTATATTGAAATAAACACCGGGATTCGGACAGGATGTGATGTCTTCTTTGTTTACAAGCCCCTCCCAAATGATTTAAAGACAATGAGTTGTGTTTCTGACCTCCTCCCGACCGTTCCCCTATGTAGATATCACTGAAGTGACATGTGGTCTTAATTCACTGTGCTACATATAACACAGTAACCAAAACAACGCAGCCGCTAACTGGGTTAAACGGTTATGCGATTTGACACCACCAGATTATATTGCCAATCGAATCAAAAACTCAGATTTTGTAACGTACTTATCACGAGTTTGCTAAAGCCTCTATGAGTTAAGATGGTTTATGTGAGAGGTAACGTGTCATAATGTCCAGTGACATAATGTCCATAGACGTTATGACACACTAAATTGAGTCATAGTGTCCATGGACGTAATGACAGTTTTAAAAGTGTTACAATGTCTATGAGCAAAATGACATAAAGTCCATGGATTTCAGCGAAGCCAGTATTCGAAATACACCAGAGTTTAAAAACCGTGCCAGGACACTTTTTAAAAGGAATCCAAAATGCAACATACACCAAATTTAGGAGCAGATCTGTTCGGGATGAGAGTGTCCCTTTCCTAAACTCTAAACAAATTTTCCAATACATTTCTGTTATAACGTCCATGGACACTATGACGCTTTTTGGTGTGACATATCATCCATGGACATTATGACACGTCACCTACGTGAGAAGTTATGGACATCACTAATGTCAGATTTAGAAATGTTTTTTATGGATTACCGACTAGGTTATACAATGTATAGATATTATGTATTAATATTTATCGAAATATTCCATTACGGGAGTTAAAACGACCACCGATTTAGCCCCCTTTTATGGAAAAACAACCTAAAATTACACTAGATAGCTAATTTTCATTTATGAAAATCCAGCACAATGTATTGATTCCACATTATACTGATATTAACTAGGGACCCCACAAAAAAAAAAAAAAAAAAAACGATCAAATGACAATACTTTTATTGAATTGGTTATTGTACGTAGTAGTGATTGTTATTTTAAGAGAATTTGAGTAAATGGTGGTCCATCTTTTTTGGACGGAAAAGGGGGATACTTGTGTCTCTGCTCCACCGGCACTCAATATCAGTTTCTCTCATTTGGAACGAATGTATTCGTATCTATGTATTTGTATTTCTTATAAGTAGTTGTAGTGTGGCGTGTATTTGTAGGTTTTCTTTTATTGTATGAATTTTATCTCCATTAAACAAACGCTCCTCTGTGGCGTTTTGTTATCGTACGAAAGAGTACAGCAACGGTACGGTGCGGTGTGGTGCGATGTTGGTGAGTATAAGTATCAGCAGCGTACCAAGCAGCTAACACAACAATGTACAAACATACATACAGACAATACACAATCGTTGTCGTCTCAGACGATGATTATGACAGTTTTTACACATTGTTGATTCGGTTGAGGTTGGGGTTTATTTTTGTCCGCTGTTTATGGTCTTCTCTAGTTGGCCTGAGTATGCGGGACTGAGAGCGTGTATATCGCGGTGGAGTATACAGATATAAAAAAAAACGAATGAAAAAAACAAACAGAAAAACAAACAACAAAAAGAAAAACAAAAAATAAATAACTTAAATCCAAAAAATAACACACAGATCTTTTTTTAATTTTATGTGTTTCATTCAATTATTCTCAAACGATCGGTCGTATTTATCAAGTGTGATCGAAAAGTGTTTTTGTTCAAAATTAAATTTGATATAAAATTCATATGTAGATCGAAATACGCACGGGAAATTGTGAAAATTGTATGTGATTTATAGTGATTTTCAAAAATATTGCACATTCAAGAAGGAAAATGAGAGACGTATGACTTTCATACACACATACATACAAATGTACATACATATATGCAAACATAGATACATCCATGCATATCTTATCAATTCGTAGTGAAATGAGGAAAATACACAAATAATATTAAAAAAATAAAAGAAAAAAGACAAGCACGTGACTGTAACAAGTTGAAGATTACGCAAAACAGACAACGAAAACCTCAAACTTCCATGTACAAAAACAAACAAGAGTTATTGAGAATTTTTCGAGGTAAAGTTTGTTAATTCAACAAGTACATGAATTTCAAATTAAAAATAAAAAAATAAACGATCACATACTACATGCAAACCCCTCTAAATATTCAATAGATACATTGATAATTGATGATTGAAGTTGAAATTTTGTAGGCAAAATTGAATGACAGACAACAAGTGATACAAACTACAAAATATTCAATTCAATAAATAATTTCAATGTTTTTGTATTTCTTTTTTTATTATTATTTTTATTAATTTATTTTCTCTCTAAACAAATTCAAATAATTGACATACACAGATGTACATACATAGATACTCACTCACTCATTCATACCACACACAATCATTCTCACATTTATGCATATGTCAAAGTGACAGCAACACTAAAACCCACAATTATTAATGCAAAATTATCCATTCGCCATAAAGCGACAACAACAGCGTCTAAATAAATAGAGTAAATAAAAAAAATTAACAAAAATAAAACAGAAACAAAAGCAAAGTAAAATATAAAAATGCAAAAAAAAAAAAAAAAAACACAGAAAAAGTTTAAAAGTCAACCACAAATAACACGGCAGGCAGTAGCGACAGAAGAAAGAAATAAAATAAAATGAAATGAACAAAAATAAAATAAAATATCTATAAATTCCGTACTTTACGGTACGAGTTAATAATGCGCTTTAAAGGTTAAAGATACAAAAGCCGTAACACCTCGATACATTGCGACGATAAATACTAAATAAATACAGACATACAAACGAAGACAATACATATTTACATACATACAAAAGTAAACACACAGATACAAAAATGTAGTATGAATATGTGAATCGGTTTAGCCTGCTATATATACGTACATTTGACATATGTATAATACTCATAAAAACAATGATTTCTTTCCCTCGCCAAATTCAGAATGTAATATTTCTTCTCTTTTAACAAAGTTCACAAGTAAAATGCAACGTTTCAAGTTCTGAGTTGACCGTTAATAAAAAATTGTTTATTATATGTACAATGTGCATACTTACAAAGAAAATTATTAATATTATTATTAATCTGTAAAATATTAATCATCTTGTGATATTAATCACCGACACTATCACCAACTGCAACGTTTAACTATTGAGATTCCCAGGCATTTTCTCTACATTTTGACGGTTTTGTTGTTCTCATTGTAAAACATCAAGTGTTTATGAAAATTTATTTTAGATTTTTTTTAATTTTTTTAATATATTTTTAACCAATGTTAGTAAAATGTAGTAAACCTAATGGAGTCAAACCTAATAATCCTATCGAATAAGAGTTTTGTTGAGGAACATGTCTAGACATATGTAGGTCTAGACCCGTTCGTCGTCGTATTAACTTTCAGAATGACGTTTTACAAAAAATCATGACTGCGACACATACAAAATTAAAAATCGGCTAGAACTTGGACCAAGAAACGTGTAAATGGAAATGTCCAGAAACATTCAGAAAGTATATTCCCATGTTAAACTTTTTATGCTCTGAGAACTAAAATAAAAATAATGTTTAAGTTTCAATACTAAACTTGTTTAAAATATGTAATTATTTTTAACATTTTAACCGCCATTTTCTCAATGTCTGATTATTTTTTATCGTAACGATATATTGACAGTTTTCGTATAAAAACAATTAAGAATGTATATTCGGGCATGGCCGACTATATAATACACTACACCAGTGAGTTTGTTAAAAATGTTGATTTTTTTTCTAATTATAAAGCATTTTTCCTTAATTCTGAAATATTTTAATAATTTGTTACCAAAAAAGTAAGTTTCTGAAAGAGGGGTTATATGAGGCAATACGGTCCTATATGTATAAATTTTGGCAGACCGATTTACGATAACATTATAGTCATTTATGCAGAATTCCAATGTGACAGAAGTGTTTAAAGGTGAATTTCCACCTTCAAGTCATTTTCAGAAGGGGACTATGTATGGGGTCTACGGTCAAATGATGCCCTATCATTACGAAAATTGGCGGTATCATTTAAACTTAGTAAAAATTTTAACCTAAAAAGCCCTATTCGGGGGTACGGTTGTATGGAGGCTAGGCGAAATAATGGACCGATTTCAACCAATTTCAATAGTCCTTGCGTCAAAAGAAGAGTATCTGTCATATTCCATGCAATTATGTTGAAAATTGCGACCTGTATCGTGAGCACAAGGTTTACATGGACACACAGATGGACATCACATAATCGACTCAGAAAGTGATTCTGAGTCGATTGGTATACTTTAAGGTGGGCGTAGGACCAATATTTTTGGGTGTTACAAACATCAGCTCAAACGCGTAATACCTTCCCCACTAAATAGGTGTAGGGTATAATTATTTGAACCGACAGTATATCTAGCCGGAGGTTGAGATATTGGGCAGACATTAAAAAAAGTTTTTAAATTTTAACGTTTTTTGCTATATTATTATCTTAGCCCATAAGTTATACATGTTATATATGTATATATCGTCACCTGAAACACAAACGGCAAATTCAAAATCGATTTTATTGTTGATTATAATGTATTGCATCAAAACATATGTCCACACAAAAAATTGGACTCCTCCGACCAAAATTAGCGATTTCATTGACATAAAACAAAAGGCCCTATCTACAAAAACATGTAAATATTAAAGGTAAAGAGTCCAATTTATCCATTTTAATATACGCCATTGTCAACTATCATAATAACTGATAGGCTTCACTATTAAACAATTTGTTTATTTACTACAAATAAATCGCGATGATAGAAACAAACTTTCCAATTTCAATAGTTTTTTGCTTCTCCTGTAAAATTTTAAAAATGTTAGATAGGGCCGTTTGCGTTTTAGGTGACGATGTGTATGTTTCTAATAGACATTCTTATAATGAATACAAATTTCATATAAATCACACTTTTTAGAGGATTTTAATATTAATTTGCAACAGAGACAAAATTTAGATTATTATAAAATTAAAAATATAAACACATATCCATAGACATAATAAAAACATAAAGTTTTTAGGGAAATATCTAGATATTCGAATCATCAATATTGTTTTTAGAGCGTGTGCAAATGTCAAATGATCTTAATTTAAATAAACAACAACAACAAAACAAACAATCTAAAACAAACAAAAAAAAAAAATACTTCAATATTCATAACTGCAACATTCACATTTATACACACATTTGAACTCAAACTCATACGTCTGCATACAAATCAACTAAAATTTAAAATTGTATGAAAAAAACTAAAATATTAAAATAAACTTGTTTTTTTAACTGTTTCTTTTTTAAGCTTAGCCCAAGTGTAAAGAAAAACGCTAAATTAGTCACACTGAAAACAAAAATTAAGACAAATGTCAAAACAATAAACAATCAAAACTGAAATCTGTCAAAACTTAATAAATGTTTCAAAAAAAGCCCTGCAAAACGGAAATTAATTTAAAAATTCAAATTAATTCTCACTGAAATAAAACAAAAAATAAAGTAGAAAAAAAGCGAAATGAAATAAATAAATAAATTTACATTTTAAATGTTACAAGAAATCAAATAACATTAATAATACAAAAAAACAACAACAATAACAAATAAGTGCATTGACATTCAATTCAAACAAACAAACATAATAACAACAACTTTCGTTGTTTCAAAATAAAACTAAAAATCTGTGTAAACAAAAATAAAATATATAATTGTATAAAGAAACAAATTAATCTATTGTTAATAATTAGTGAAAATTAAGCAACAAGAAACTAATTTTTAACCATTCTATAATGGAATATAATGAAGGAAACCGATACTGAAACTTCAGTAATATGGCCATCATGGTGCTATACCGGTAAGTAATACAAATGTTATTTACAACCACATACATACATATTACAAAATTATAATAAATAAATTAATATATTTTTTAAAAATATTAATTTTTATTTTAATCCCGTATTTAAACAAAAATTTATGTTAAAATAAGTTTAAATTCGCATTAAGTGATACTGAGAACAACTCGTTGTTGCCAAAATTTAACTTTCAGAATCAAGGGAAGGAAATATTTTGAGATCCAAATTTTATATCGAATCACCTCCTAAACGAAAATATAAAATTACCGATCCAAATTGAATATTCAAATGTTGTTTTAATTTAAATTGAAAAGTCGTGAATAACAGTTTAGCACTCCATCAATATTTTTTTCAAATATTTAAACATTCACATTTGTATGTATTTAGAGAAGTACATAAATATTTTTTCTAAAATTTAGTAAAATATTCCTTTTGCTTTATTTTATATTTTTATGATTCTCAAAAAAAAATCATAAAAGAGCATAAAACTGTTAAAAAGAATGATATCATCGCCTCGACGCGATTTTATTTCCTAATACAAACATGATTTTTATGAATATTTTATATTTAATTGAATGTCTATTATATAAAATCTTGATCTTTTAGAATCATTCGCAGAATTATCTTATCTTCTATTATTGCAACATTTATTTTACGGTAAATGTCCCGATTAAGAGGCACACATATTAATTCTAGGGGTAGCATAGTGGTCGAAATACGAAATAAGCTTATCAACTGATGTCGACTATGAAATTCGATTGTTTGTATTAAAACGGGGGCTAAACAGCTATAAGGATCTTTCAGAAAATTGTAATGGAAGCTTCCATAATAATGAAGATATCAAAACGTTCAAATAATTATTGGCGAGATCGCGAGATCGCAAAATTTCAAGTAGGCGAGATGAAACACCCATATACAAATATATGGGCAATTTCATATCAAGTTACCCAACTCAAAAAATCGATATTGACGAAATTTGCACCAAGGTTAGTTCTATTGAATTGTAGGCCAGACACAAATTTCTATCGGTCAAGAACTGCCGGACTTAGATGGACTTTTTGTCATACAGGGTTTTATTCAAGTGAGTGTAACTTTTCACCTATTGGTCCTAGCAAATATTGTCCAAAGGAGTTCAGATAGCTATTTTTTCATTGTTTCAAAAAAAAAAAAAATAATTATTTTTTTTTTCAAAATGGGTTTTTTAGTCAAAAGAAAGCTTGTACAATATCCATTAAGGGCTTTATAGTCTCCCAAATTTTTAACCTACAACTTTAACACCCATCTGAACAGATTAGTAATAGAAGCGTAACACATCCCATGTGAATTAAATAAAAAATAGTATAGCTGGGAAACTATTAGAGCTAGAATCCTTAAATTTTGCACAGTCAACATTGAAATCTATATGAACATTTAAAAATAATGGCTGAACTTGTAATAGTGGACGTTCCCATATGAATTAATTACCAAAATTTTTATATTTGAAACTACAACAGGTAGGAGTCCTCAACTTTTGCGCTAGTTTTAGCGACTATAAATGCGGATTGACAATGTTACAATCATTAAATTGACTTTCTGCAACAAATTATATTGTGACTTATAATAGCTTTGCGAATATTAAAGATACATATGGTAATTTTCATGAGAAGATCTACCAAGACTGAACAAATAAAAGCTCTTCTAACATTCTTATTTTTAAAAATAATTTAACAAAATTTGCTACATGGTCTTCTATTATACTAATGACCAAGTGTGTTGAAAATATTTAAAATCGATCCATTATTTTACTTAGGTCCCATACAACAGTACCTCATAATAACGCTTTAGAGCTCTAAATTTCGTTAAATATACAAAAATGGGCTGACTTATAATTAAAATGTAGCGTTAAACATGTCGCGTTCGAACATGATTAAAATTAAATTTAAAAAAGTATAAATAATTTTTAGGTAAAACTATAACCATTTTATGGAGACGTAAGTTAACAACATTTTAAATCATTGAAATACGACCTCAGGTTTCGCTAAAATCAACGATTGAATTGTTGCCTATTGTCAAAATAAAAGTTAATTTTATTTTGACATTTTTATCACTCTAAATGGTTCGACATTTCGGAAACCTGAGACCAACATTTCTTAAGATTTAACATCGCAAAATCCGAATCTGGCCTCAGAATTACTCCACTGAAAACGCCATATTTGAGATCTTATAAAACCGGAAAGACACCTTCATTTACATACAAAATTAGTTATATGGTCTGAGAGAACAATTAATTAATTAAAAATAAAGGTTTAATCTCGATCATTATTTCATTATTCATCGAGATATCTTAACTTAAAGCTTGAAACAATTATAAATCCCAACAAATTTGATATTGCCTTTATATTACGACAAAAACTTCAACGGATGATATCTTCACAAGTACAAGAGATTTTTAAATACGGATTTTTATGAGAAAATTTTGAAAAGTTTATAGATGAATAAAGGCGAAATGGAGCTAAAAATGTTGTTTTTGTAATTATATTGTTTTCTTAAGCTTTATTTATTTCAGCTAACATAACAGATTTTATCAAAAAAGATGTGTTGATGAAAAAATTTTGAGGTCAGATTCGGTTTTAGCGATGCCAAATCCTTTAGAAAAGTATACTTTTTTCTCTGGGTTAAAAATTTGTTGGTCTCTGTAATCCATAATATATAAAACATTTATCATTGGGAAGTTTTTCTATAAAGTTTATTACTAGCAAATGTCGCGGTTATTACAGATTTTTGTCACCCGAAACGAAATGTTTATAATTTGTACAGTTCTTAAATGATTTGTTAAGTTTTTTTCGTAGACAGTATACAAAAGTAAATGGCTTATTTATAAGTAAATGACGAAATGTATTTATTTCATTAAAGGTCATTTTGTCATACATACTCATGTTCTTATCAAACATTCAGAAAATCTTATCATTAAAGTTCATTTGAGGCCAAACCAATTATAATCACAAATAGCTACGTACGTATGGCTCCGCATTTATGAAATTATAATTATAGAGGCCTAGATTTACGAAGACATTAGTTTAGTCTCAAGTAATTCTTATACAACATCCAAAATGCTTTTTTTACTTGTTTTTATTCCTTAATCTTTTTGACAGGAAGTTAAAGGATGTTTAGTTTTAATTGTTAACCATTCCCTTAGTTAAGTTTTATATAGCTAAAAGTGTGGCGCATTTAATAGAATTTCGTTTAGTGTTTAGATATGGTCGATCGTAAGCATATCCTATTTGCAAAAATAGACATCGTTGTTGGCGTATAAGTGCATATGTAGGTGAGCATTTAAGAAGAAAATATAAATATTTTCTTATTTAGGAATACACTTATAGACTTATGAATTTATTTGCAAAATTCCTAAAATTGCAGCCACATTGTTCATCATTTTCAGTCGTCGTTCTATGTTCGTTTTGTAGTTGTATTGTATGTAATATGTCGGTTGAATGAATGATTTCTTTACACAAAATATTAAATATTTTCGTATAGTGTAATTACTAATTCAATGTACACATAAAAAATACTCGAATATAATGAATGCGCGTGTTAAAAATATTATTGTTTTGCCCAGTTAAATTCTTTTTTTATATAAATATTTTATATATTTCGTTTTCAATTACTTAAAATGATTCTGTGATTGGCTCCAAAAATAAAATGCAAAAATTAAAATTCAAAGCGTGTATTTAGAAGCTAAAATAAAAAATCTCAACAGTTTCACAGAAAATAAAACAAATACACAAAAAAAAAAAAAAAAAACAATATTTTATTGTATCACGGAAAGAAAAGGGAGAGGTGTGGGCGTTGAACTGAACCTTGAAGATTTTTTTTAAATAAAACTCTAACACTTCAAACAGCACAACGTTATGAGGCATTTAACAAATAAATATTGAATGCAATTGATTGAAAAAAAAGTTTTAATTTGTTAATTGTAGGAAAAGTTAGTGACAGCAATACTTATCTTTATTATTTACACTCCGCCATACCACTTTTTCTATAAACTTACATAGATCTCTACATACATACATGTTCCCTATTGACGTATAACGATCTGTGGTACCAGTTCATTTAATTGGATTTTATTTGTATCCTCATTTTTTTAAAGCTCAGGGTTTGATACTAAGATAATAAAATCAAGTTATTTCTTTAATACCAGTTTAAAGCTTTTGAGTTTGATCTAAATCTCACACACACATACATTTAAAATCCATAATTAATTCAAAATATGGCAACAGTTCGACTACTTTAAAATCTGATCAAGTTCTTTCTAAATTTCTTATGTCATTCGCAAAATAATACTCCACTTGACAGCAAATTGTCAAATATTTTACTCAAACTCAATCTAAATGGAGGAGAGTGTGAATGTGAAGATGGTATAATTTGGATTCTAATTTGAATTCTACACATTTATTGGTGAAAATTATTTGTTGTATGTTAATTAAAAATTCGTATATTTATTGTAGAATTTTAATGCTTTAAACGTGATTAAGTTTTTATTTCATCAATCAATAATAACTTGCATTTTATAATGCGTAAATTGCAAAAAAGTTTAAATCGAATGAATTAAGAATGTATTTAGTTAATATGTATGTATGTATGCATTAAATTAATTGAAGGTTGGGTCTTACAACACCAGGAAATAAATAACATGGACTTTTGATAAAATTTTCATCTGATCAAATTACAATTTTTAAATTTTTGAAGAATATCGGGAAAAGCAGATCTGATATTTGGATTAAAGTGAATAATATAACTATTATTATTTAAGAAGAATTACAATTTATTTTCTCGTACCAACACCAACTGCTTACTCCTTGAAAACGTTCTGAGGAGAATCCTTATAACGAGATCAGTGAGAACAACAACAACCAAATGTCTATTTGGATTGCTAAACTGGATCCCAACTGATTTGTGGGACAGGAAATTAGCACAGAATTTCAGACTTAATCCAATAGATGCATGGACACACAATTCATAT